TTTACTCTGCCCGGTCAGGGCGCTCAGAGTATATTTGGAACGTTCTGCCCTGTTCAGATAGACAGAGCAATTGTTCGTATGCTTTGGCGGCCGCACCAAAGGTCTCGCTGTTTCAAAGCAAAGAATATCGCGCTGGATAGTTGATGCTATAGCGCTGGCTTATGAAGCCAAGGGCCTTCAGTGCCCCTTGGGCATCAGAGCTCACTCTACGAGAGGCATGGCCTCCTCGTGGGCGTGGTCGAGTGGGATACCCATTCAAGATATTTGTGCGACAGCAGGCTGGGCCTCACCGTCCACATTTATCAGGTTTTATAACCTACAGGTCCCCTCATTGCACTCTAACATACTGTCGGTCTAACTATGCATAGGCTGGGGTGTGTACATGCTGAGCATTGTCTCCTCCCTCATAGAATCCGTCTCTGACTGATGTAGAGGATTTTTCATGCATGACAGTACATAAAAATGTGCTTGTGTGTTTCTCTGGACGCTCCCATTGGGCCGTTCCACGTTGTCCTTTATAAAGCCCGCCTTCGGCTGGCTCGTTGGATAATTACTTTGCTTGAAGGCTCAGGCATCTGCCTCCGGCTTAATAGAGCGAAGTCAGCACGCACGGCGTTTTACATGGTGTTCCCATAGCGTAAGCTATTACGCAATAGGAGGAACCTCTCGAAAGGGAACGACTCGGTTACTAACGTAACCTCGGTTCCCTGAGAGGAGGGAACGAGTATTGCGTAATCTGCCGTGCTTGTGCTTGGTCAGTTTGCTTCAGTCGATTGAACCTAAAGAACTCAGACGACGGGGCGCCCAATATATAGCCCTTGGCCACGCCCATCTTGGCGGGCTCTGACGCGCGTGGGCGCGAAGCACGCTCATTGGAAGCGGGTTCAGAGTCGCCCCGTCATAGGTTCGTGCAGTTGCCGCAGCACAGCCAATGACCGAGCTGCCTCGCTCATTGCTGTATGCTCTGCAGCTGCAATGCGTTTTACATAAAGACTTCAATATTTCTTGAGAAAAGGAGTTTTCCCATAGCGTAAGCTATTACGCAATTCTCGTTCCCTCCTCTCAGGGAACCGAGGTTACGTTAGTAACCGAGTCGTTTTATTTTGATCGCTTCTGTAGACATCAGTTTTTATATCCGAATTATAAACTTTTATCCCACTTCGGTGATAATATGAATACGTGTAACAAAGAGATAACGATACTGTGTGAAGTTTGAAAAGACTGTGTTTGTGAAGCGGTTTCATACCTTTGACAAAGTCTGGGTCAGCAAGCAGCGCAAATGTAGATTTGAATGTTCCGGTGTGATTTTTGTGGGAAAAAAAAAGGTTTAATACACAACACACAGGCAAATCACTGTCATTTAGGAATGAGATCATGTTGGTATATGAATCGAGGTCTGCCCTATAACCCAGACAAATGAACAAAAGAGGAGATAGGCCTAGTTGTCACAACATGTAGGGAGGAACCTATTTGAAAGATCTGCAACTCCTTTTTTAATGTTGCTGTAGGCTTGACAGCCTATCCTCCCTTATTTGTCTTCTCATCAATTTGGAGGGACATCCTGTTCTTGATAATGTCACTGTACTCTCACTACTTGTTGATGACTGCTCCATGGCATATCTAATGCCTCAAAAAAAGTTATTTGTAGCCCTCACCTGAGTGAAACTTTTCAACAATGAGATCCTGGTCAGTGATTTGTAAACTCTTTGTGGCCAATGGTTCTTGTAATAGCATGCAACCAAGAAGATGACAGAAAAATCTTATAAGACCAGCTACAATTTATTTGGAGTCACTTCAGGTGAAGGCAGGTGTGTACTATTTCACATGAGCTTAATGATTGGTTCATTCTGAACACAGCTAAAAATTTCAAATTCTTTCCTTTTCCTTTAAATCCTTGCTTATCTGGCTTATGCTACTCCGAGCAATGTCTAAACTTTGTATTTTGAGCACTTCTTGCATTGTTTTTGTCTCTTCACGATGACTCGCTTGGTTTAGTCTTCAGTTGTAAGTCGCTTTGGATAAAAGCGTCTGCTAAATGACTAAATGTAAATGTAAATGTAAGCTACATACCCAATTGTTATGCACACTATGCAGTTAGGTTATTTTACGTTTTTTTAATTTGTATATTTTTTTTTAGAGAGTTCTATTACTGTATCGCTTAAATAGAAAAGAGTGGCATTATGAACACAAAAAAAAGTCAGAGATATTTTTTAAACCTGTTTTTATGATATCAGGAAGCAAAAGTTCTTAGAAAACTATTCACATTGCCAAATTTATCACTAGACAATTCTAAAATAATTCATTTTTACTAAGCAAAGTCATTAAATTACATTTGAGAAACGTAATTTTTGTTTTTTTGTTGTGTAAAGCAATCTGCTATATTTTGTGATGTAGCACTTATTAACTTTTTCATGTTTGAACTAATTAACCCTCTGGGGTTCTTTGGACCAAATGGACCCGAAGAATTTAATAAAAATAAAAAATAAAAAAATGTGTAAAATCATAGCTTCATCGGAATGGTCCGAAATTTGGTGACTTTGTTGGTACTTGGTATATGAACACCCAAACAAATTGGGGACAGGATTTGAATAGTCTAAGTGGTTGTAAAAAAAATGGTCACACTCAGGGTCTTCGGGTCCAAATGGACCCGCCATAGGAAATGAATGGGAAATTGACAAAAATGTGACAATACAGAGTTGTTTTGTGCGTACAATCAACAAATCAGCCACGATCCAGAAAAAAAGCACACAACAGTGAAGGGGTGAATCTATAAAACATCAAGAGTGCAAAACAGACACACACACACACACACACACACTTTTATACACAAACACACTAATAAATTCAGATTACATAAATATGTTTTGAATTTTTAAAAATCACAGCTTCATCGGAATGTTACGAAACTAGGTGACTTTTATGGTATTAGGTATGTGAACAAACAAAAAATATTGAGGTCATGATCCAAGCATGCTAAGTGGTCGTCACACTTCTGCTCTTTGGTCAAAAATGACCCCCATAGGAAATGAATGGGAAATTGTCAGAGTTTTTTTTTTTTTGCATACAATCTACAAATCAGCCAGGATGCAGAGAAAAGGACTCAACAGTGAAGGGGTGAATCTCTAAAACATCAAGAGTGCAAAACAGACACACACACACTGTATTATATATTTATAATAATCTGTATTATAAAGTAAAACTGGCACTTCAAATTACCATTTAAACCAAACAAACAAACAAAAAACAAGACAAAAATAGTCTTTGAGAATCTGTTATTATATTTTAAAATCAACAACCTGAAAAAAATTGTCAAAGATGTGCAAAACTCACAAGAATTCTGAACCCTTTCTACAGAGAGCTGTAAATCCACTAGTGGTAAAAATGTGCTATTGCGTGATAAAAATGCTCAGTGTGTCCAGCAGATGGCATCCATCTCATTTCAAAAATTGTTTTCATGAGGCCTAGGCTTGACTCTAAAATGAAATACAGCTTTAAAAAAATAATAAAAAATAATACATATTTATAAAAAAATTATATTATATTCAATGGGAAAAAATGGGTCATAATTATTGCATAAATATTAATTATAAATCATAAAATTTTCTCAAAACACCAAAAAATAAAAGAAATTTTTTTATAAAAAACAAGTAAAAAAAATATATATATGATTTTCTTTTAATAAATATGAATCAAACCCTTCCGGACCATTTGGTCCCGAAGACCCTGAGTGTGACCCTGAAATGAAGGACCCCAGAGGGTTAAATCTGATGTCCATTTATTGTTAAACAATGGCACCAAACCATGCAAAACACATAACATTCTTAACAACTTCCAACTTGAAAAATGGATTGCAAAACTATTTTAATTCAAAACTTTAAAAACTGAAATAAATCGCCATCATTGTTTAAATTGAAACATATTACAATATATTTAAAATATATTTGCAGGCACAAAGCAAACATTATACAAGACACAGATTGTTTTACGTTTGCCCATTATGTTTTAATGGGCAATGCTGCAATTACAGTATATAACTTTAAGATACGAAAGAAAATATTATATTAAGAAGAATGTAATATGACAAAAAAGTAACATTCATCCTTTGAAAGTCTTGTCATTTGGTTTGTGACCCGTGCTGGCAAAATGAGTCGCCATGAGCAAATTTTCAAAAATTAGTTCTTGTTATTTTCACATTCTTTATTAAAGAAACCTTCAAAATGATGTATGATTTGTTGGAATCAGACCAAAAATGACTGAGAATGATCGATTTCCTGTTTGAAATCGATTGTCAGCGAAGTCAATTTTGAGAAAAATCGAGGTGAAACTTTCTGAAGGTTCCAAAAGAAAATCACCTAGCAACAGACAGCCTATATATTCAGACCTACTGTACTGAACGAATCTAATAATATGGTACACATCAGATGTTTTCTGCCCCACAGTTAACCAAACGTTCACTTAAGACATGACAGATAATGTTTGTGTTAATACACGCCAAGAGTGATATTATGAAATGAAATACTGTAATTCTGTGCGTCTGAGGCATCTTCGCGCGCACACTTTGTGTTAGTCAGTGCAAGATCATTTTGTTTATATCAGCATGAGTTTGAAAATCACATTGCATTGGTTCAAACTCATGCCATCGAGAATTTGCTATGAATATTGTGCTAAGGGGAAGCTGTAGTCGTCGAGAAGCGAGCAGAGAAAAATGGCAATTTTCATGGACCGTACAAATAAAGATACTTTTGGATGTTTAATTGTTATTTGGAGCATTGGGATCGCTAGATAAGGGCTTAATGAACAAATTTTTGTGAAAACCACAAATTTGATCAAAGTTGACATATTTCACTTGTTTTGCCTGTAGCTTGTAATTAGCCTGTGCGCATTTCGACACATTTTGCCAGGATGGGTCACATTTCTTCATTCACGGAGTTTACTTTACCGTTTTTTTTTTACATTTAGTGATACAATATTTAGTGTAATCAGTGCTGAAAGTGTTTGAGCACTGAATGTAATTATATTGTGACCTGAATCTCATCAGATTCCAGATTAAGCGGGTTATGATCCTCCACAGTACTGTCAAATTTGGGACAGATGAACTCAACAGGTTTCCAGTGTGGTCTTCGCCCACTTCCTCTTTGTCGGAAAGGGGCAAACCGCAACCATTTCTTCACTACATCAGCAAACTGGTGGTGTGTGGCCTCCTTTCCTACGGGTGTCCTCTTCAAGGCACCTGCAGAGAACAGAGTTGAAACATTACTTCACATGAAGATCTAAAACTGTTGTACTGAAACATAATTTTAAAGGTTGCTTACGAAATAAAACTCCCTGCAGTCTGGTGTTTCTGAAGCTCCGTTTCTGTCCTCTGCCAACCCAGTTGAGCTCCGAGCCCACACTGAAAGAGAGAACAGCGTGCATAAGACGCCGGACCGCATCATCCACCGTGGCTCCGCCCATCCTTGAGAGATGTGACACCTATGGAAAAATCAAAATATGAAACAATACTCAGTACAGGTGAAGGGAAGTGTGTTACAAGAAAATGTTTGATTGAGGTTTACAAAATGACATAACCCATTATTACATGTGCTGTAGAAACTGTAAATTGAAGAGTAGATTTACAGTAGCCTATTTATTATTTACCATTCTCCTCTGAGATTCAGTATCCTCTAAATGCTGCTCCGTTTCATCAAGCTGTTCCATAGTTCTCAGTGGCAGATCTATGTCAAGTGGTTCGTCCTCCTCTTCACACACTTGTCCATGAATCCTGGCCTGCAGGTCTTTCAGAACTTCCCACTGCCTCTGTTGCTCCTCCTTGATCTCAATAAGAAGGGATATGATTTTCTTGTGGGCCGCTGTCTCTGTAGTTGTAAAAGGGTAGATTTAGTGAAGACCTACAAAAGGTTAAAATTCAGCATTGATATCAACTGCATCAGTTGAGTTCCATTTGTGTGCAGGTATCCATGTGTCTACTTGGTGTTAAGTGTTGCTAAGGTGTTCTGGGTTGTTTCTGTAGGCTGTTTCTATATACAGTACACATTTTATTCTATTAACAGGAATTTTATGTTGTACATCTGACAGTACTCTAACATAGGGACTTGATTGAATCATTGGTTCATTGTTTGCTATAGAGTGCAACAGGCAAGTTCTGAATGTAAAAACTACATTTTAACAACAACTTATAAATCATTAAAGACAGCCTTACTGCAAGCTACGAGGTCGTTAATCGATAGTATTTGCTTATGTATGAAGCCATTAGTCCGCATTATTTCAAATTAGTTTTAAAATAATCATGTTTAACAGATTTTGTGGTAAAAAACTACAAGTAAAATGCATCAAAAGATCTTGTTAGCTCCGTTATATATAGGCCTATATTATTTATATATATATATATATATATATATATATATAACGTTTTGCTATAGCCTATATATATATATATATATATATATATATATATATATATATATATATATATATATATATATATATATATATAGTTCAGCAGTGTTTCGTCAGCAGAACAATCCAAAAACACATTAAATAGTACAGCTCAGCCAAGACAGCCTCGCTCCCACTTCCGTCAAAAATCAAAGATGGCGCTGCTGTGAATAAGGTCTATTCCTGCGATCTCATGTGATTGACAGGTTGTCCCGCCCTCGCGCCAGTAAACGCGTCATCAGAGAGATGTCGTCATTGCAAGAGAGAAGAAAAGTAACTTGCATTAAAGTTTAGTAGGGTACATGAATAAAAAAATAATGTTGTACATGGATAAATAATTTAGAACAAATACTGCAATATTCCATAAAAAATTAAAAGTCAGTTTTGATTTCATGGTGACTGAGGGGTTTTTTTTTGTAAGGAGGTTCAAAGGAGGTTGAAGTAGAGTGGAGGTTTAAAATCATTCGATGTTTTATATATTTAAATAGATAGAGTATAACTTCCATTTAAAAAAACTTAAAGTCAAGACATTTTAACACAACACAAATCCATAACGATTTAAGAAAAGCGATGTAAAGTGGTCATTTTCACTGCCTACAGTACCTGAAGATGAAGATGCATTCTCTAGCATTAACTTTTCTGCCACTCCTGCAGGATTGTAGGACTGTGAATCCGCGCTGAAATTCACCTCCGCCCGCCCCGGGATGTCTTCTGCGCTCCTTCTCAAGTCTCCGGGCAGAGGGTTCATATCCTCCTCCTCAGGCACCGCTAAGCGTCTCTGTGCCATTTCTGCCATGTGTTTACTCACTAAACCCTCCGCCCGGCGGTTTATGGCCCAGCTCGAACGACCGACACTGTTTGGGTCCATTTATACGGGTGTATTTATTAATTTACAAATAGCACTTTATGCAAAATTTGCTACTCTTGAGAAACACTGCGATATATGCGAGAAATAGGCGGAAATGATTATCAAACTGTCCCCAGCCAGCGCACGTATCACGTTACGCAAACGTCACAGCAACGTTGGCAGAACGTTGGGAATTTTGAAAGAACTACAATTCCCACAAGCATATCGTGACGTCACCCGTCGCTTACAGGCGCGCAGTTAAATTTAACTTAATCAAAATGTTGTGGATAGATTTGGAATGTTTCCTTTGTAAATGCTTAGGCATGAAAGTTTACTTTTCTGAAAAGATTTTTTTTTTTTTTTTTATAGACAAAGATTACCAACAAATCTGGCCTTTATTGTTAATCTTTGTTTGATTACGGGGAAATACCATATACATAAACAAAAATGTGCAAAAGAAAAACCCAACTTTTTGTTATTTCAGATAGATATAAAAAATTATAGTGAGTTAGGGGCGCACTATATGCAAAGCTTTTATGCTATTTATATGATTATCTCATTGCTGTTCCTTTTTCTGTTTATATTTATTTTTTCTTCTTTCCCCCCTTCTATTTACTTGTATTACTATTTTATATATTATACTTCTTTCTCTTACACACTCACTTATCCATGTTTTCATGCCAATATACAGTATATTCATGTTCAAATCAAGGAAGTGTAATAGGCTATGTTGTTTGAGATGCATCTGTGCTTATGATGGCTAAATGTTTGAAAATGTCATCAACAAATATAGTAGCGTAAAACATGCAATTACAGACTTCTTTGCTCTAAATCAACTAATAACAACAGTTTTGTGTGAGGGCTACGGGTAGGTTTGATATTTTGGAAATATCTTTATCTCTGTAGAACCAATCCATTTATTAGATGCCTTTATACAGTGAAAGCAACATGCCTGTTTTTATGGCTGAAATGACAATTAGCGAACAATAGTGTTTACCTCAGCAAAGATCATTTTAATTATGCTCAAGTAGCAAAAAAAAAAAAAAAAAAAACTCTGATATACAACTGAAACACCTGAACAAAATAGTTTAGTACATAAAGCCAACCACCATTCTTTTTATGATTCCTGAAATGCAGAAGACATCAATTAATCAGAATGAAATATCTATGCTTTCATTGGAGAGTTTTCCATTGGAAAAAAAGAAAAAGAAAAATGAAAACATGCAATAATCTAAGAGGTCTAATTTCACTGCTGTCCGTCCAGTGCTCAACAATGTGTAATAGTAATGAACATAAATAATTCCTTATATTAAAATATCCCATGCGACTTAGCAAACCAAGGGTGTTCAAACCCTCAACACAACAACAACAAAAATAAAATAAACAAATAAAGGACCCAAACATTGTACAGTATCTATGAAAATATTGTCAACAGATATACAGGCAAAGACAAAAAATATGAAGACATTTTCTTGTATAATTATGTACATCAGCAATGCATCACCCTGTAAAAGTCACTTTTTATTAAAATATGCCTGAATCCATGAAGAAATATCAGCAGACAAGAAAAGGAAATAGGAGTGTAACTTGTCTAATTGTGGGCTAATTGGTTGTGCATGCCCCCATTATTATTATCATTATATTTGTGCGTACAAACGAACAGCAGCACTTTGATTTTCAGAAGTGATGATGAGGACCAAATAGCATCGATCAGTACATAATAACTATTGAATCTGTAGATCGCTATGGCTGGTATATTGCAACCATAAACATAGGCATTAATGTCCCACAACCTGTAAGCAGCAGTGCTCATATTCTGAAGCATTACAGTTGCAGTGATTGTTAATTTAGTTGCACCTCAAAGCCTCTTTTTACTATCCTTGATATCGAGCATATAGAGTGCACAAACTCTGTCAAACCTTACTGAAAGTAAGTAGCATATATATGACTCTAAGAATGTGATGTGTCATGTTTAGGATTTACAAGAAAAAACACAAACACAGTAATTAATCTACACATTATTGCATTTGTTGAACAAAACTTTTCATTAAACCCTGCCTTCCCGAAATCTTCCTTATAATACCCTGCTTTACGAAGAAGAAAATAATGAACTAACAATCCTCAGCATCCAAACACACCTCGTACACTCTACTTGGATTACACCTAGCTTATATTTACCAGGAATATCACATTGCTTAAACCCTAGGCCTCCTGTTGCATTTTTGGGAAGTAAACTAGGCCTAATGTCTATTATGAGTAATATAGAAAACAAAATGTTCATATTTGCTCATATAATCTGCCAACCTAGGGAAAAATTATCCTCTTTTTTATATCATAGATAAAAGAATGACCTACAAAAATGTGACCTTTGATTTTAAACATGCTAAAACTACGTTGACAGTAAGTTGACAAATTAGTTGTTTTTTTTAAGCTAAAGAATTCACTTGAAGCACGGCCTACAGACTTTTAACAGCAGGAAACAGTTCTAAACATTTTGCGTTACAAAATACAAAGTTGCGTTTGTGATAAAAATACTTTGCCGCAATACTCTTCCAGATATGTCATCTAAATTCTATCCTTAAAATATGACAAACAATTACACACCCAGTATCAACCAGTGCATAAAACACAACATTTCCCTGCAATGTGCCTTCGGACTAGAAAACCTGCATGACGTTTCTAACTAGACTAAAAGAGTCCATAGAATCGCTACTTTGTCAGCTCACTAAAAACCTCTGTAAGGAGAAATAGTCCAAGCATCCACACATTGTGCCACAGTTAAAAGTTTACAGCTGTGATACATTGTGGCGGTGTCTTTTTACAACCCCCAGAAGCAGAGGCATACAAAACAAAGTATTTAAATCGTCCTTCTAAAAGAAGGCCAAGAAATGAGTCCTGGTCACATCAGCATAAAGAACGTCTGAAAAATCCAAATTATTACCTGCATCCCTGGAAATGAATTCTGATCCTTGTTTTACTGAGAGGATTTCTTGAAAAATTCCTTGATAAACTCTAAGATTAGAGCGGCATGCTAAGAGAAAAATGACTTGACCTCTTCTAGAGCAAATTTGATTGTTTTACATCTATGGTTTGATTTGAAACAGTCTTATCAACGTTAGATGTTAGCTTCATTTTACCAGGACAAGTTCCTGTTAATCAGCTTCTTAGGTTTGTGGCTCACTCACTCCATTCACTCTTAACAGGGAATGGGCCGATCTTAAATGTCAAAACAGTTAAGTATAAAATATATGTGTGTATATATATTTATATGTTTTCCCCTTGCCTGCCGAAGTTTTGAGTGTTCAAAAAATCTCTACAATTACCTCGGATGTCACGTCACACCGATATCAAATAGTAGAAACTGTTTACGCATCAAGTCAAAGGTGCATCTAAAAGGGTGCATAATATTCAGAGATGAAGGAGAAGGAATCCAGTAGAAAAGGATGACACGTAAGCTCTGAAGGACAAAGCGGCGTAGCCTGGCTGAAACTCCAGAACGGTCTCTTCTTTGGGACAGCTGTGGGTTGGTTTCGTTTCAGTACGTCATAGGAAAGCAATGTGCATAAATAGTTTTCAATAAATTAATAAATAAACTTTTCTCTGTTTTCAGTATATACAGAGTGTTAGAGACGAAAGAATGTTCATAAACACATCTACGGAAATCCCATATATCGTCTCACTAAACATAAATATGTTGGTTGTAGCGTTCCAACATGTGTCTCCACACAGGTGCAAACAAATGCCCGCTGTCTCTCTAAAAGCGATCTCAAGCCTTTCGCTTTTATTACCTTCACTGCACGGTAAACATATTCTCATTGGAAAAACGTAGACACCGATGACCCAGGCATCCGGATCAATCTGTCATATGAAGGTTGAAAGTGACTTGGTAATGCCCAAATTAAAAAGAGGACTGTTCACAAGTATTTACTAGAGGTCACCAGTACCTTTCAGCAAAAAAAGAGAACCCTCATAAATCTATCATTTTACCGATATTAACAAGTCCAGTCTCTTCTTCCGTCAATTAGCAGCTAACAAAATAAATGCCATCATAAAATACATTTAGATCATATTCTTTAAATATGTAATATGCAAAATATTTTGAAAAACAAAAAGTATTCACATCAAACCAGGCAGTAGTCATCTTTACTACATTCCTGTCCCGTCAGAACAGTCTTTATACATTATCAGTCAACAGGACCATGCCTCACACACAATCCTCTCTCCTCTTGTACCGCCACAGACCCAGAGACTCTATCAATATTGCACCCATTGAAAAGAAAAAGAGAGGATCGATAGATGATCAGCTAGATCAATAAATAAATATTCCTTCAGAACAAGAGCCGGTCTGCCTCTGATCAAGGACTTGTGCCATTATCCTCGCAAGGTCAAGGAGGGAGGGCCGGGAAAAGGAACGCTTCTCATTCTTCGCGGCAGGTGGGCAGATTGACGAAGGTGAATACGTTGAACTCGATGAGGATGGAGAAACACAGAAAGACAGCGTACATCAGCAAACAAATGAAACCCAAACGCCTGTCCAGTTTCCAGTTGTTCAAATGTACACCGAGAACCTGAGAGGGAAAGAAAGGGTATTTGTGAGAGATGGATTCAAAGGACATTTGTTTGAATAAGTGTTTTTAATTGCTCTCACATACCGTGAGAAACACAGATGCCAGCAGCAGCCCAACCGAGAAGATCAGGCCTTTACTGTTCAGGTGAATCTGAGAAGAGATGCAGAAATGTTAGAACTTGCACTTGCACCAAAATTGGCTATTTCCTTTTTGTCTAAATTTCTACTTTAAACTTGCAATTGTTTTCCAGTTTTCTGCTTCCTCTCACGTGACTAACGCAAACATTCTGCATTTATCAATATCATCCGATATTGAATATTTAATTGTTTATGCTCATTTACTTTATTTGTATATTTAGATTATGTTTGCCATCAAGCAACACACACATAAAGTTAGTATTTAAAAACAAAATAATAATTTAATAAGACTCAATATCCAATATAACTTTTTCATATTGTACATTATAATGCTGGGATGATTAAAATCACTTGTAACTTTCATTTTTTGGGGGTATCTATTTAGACAAAACAATTTAGAATTTTACAATTAGCCATATATTGATTTTTGGCAATAATAACAAAAATTATTAGCGGTCTCGGTGCATCACTAATGTCACACAATTTCCGGGTTAAAGGTTGTAACTAAACAAACAATAATGATTTTTCATTTGGTCTCTGTCAATGTTCTCCGCCATTGACGAGTTATCTTGTCTTTTATAAGAAAACGATTCCCTGCCATTGACGAGATTTTACAGCGTTCCATGTTATCGCTGTTATAAGGAGGGGGGGGGGGGGGGGGGGTTATTACGCATCTCCTGAACGAGTACGGTATTTTCAGATCAAAACACAGGTAAAGAAGATTTACTCCATCTATGTTGTGATCATCGTACTGAATCTAGATGTAGTCTTTGACAAAAACGTGATTTTCTCAGCTTTTTGCTAAAAATGTTGCTTTTTTTAATGAAACTTAAATTCAAGTGTTGATAAAAAAAGAATGCATGAAGATATAATAAAACATTTTTTGTTTAAAAGCAGAGGGTCTGTTCTTTCTTTTGATATATTGCATGCAATTGCATTCATACAAAAAAATATTCTGGGGGCCATGCCATTTTTGTGAAAATGAACAAAAACGCTGGCGGTGGCTGGCGACTTAAAAAAGAAAAATGCTTGCAGGGAAAGAGTTAAGCATTTGCCAAATGAATCATTAAACAATAATGAAGATTACGACATTTTGCACTTACTGTGGAACCATAGTCGATGGCCAAAGTCTGGAGGGTCCAGGGCAGACCAAGCCCTATCAGGATATCAAACACATTACTACCAATGGAGTTGGATATAGCCATGTCACCCATTCCTGAAAAAGATTGATAGACAGTTTAAAGACTGAACATATTACAATCATCATAATCTAGAAACAATTTCATATCTGCAAATAAAACTTCAACACCCATAATGCACTTTTGATTTTGACTCCGCATCTTTGTGCATCCGACTGTCCAGGAGCAGGAATACAAAAATTCTGAAGTTTGATCAGTAGCTTTGTATTGTTAAAATGTCGGTAGTATATGTAAATTAACAATGTGTTAATTACAATTATTCTTTTTTTTATTCAATTCTATTATTTATTCAATCTCTTCCCGACAAAGCAAACTGATTATTTTATTCAGGGAATGAGTGTAAATAATAAAGCTAAAGCGTGAAGAAATAATCATTCGTTCCTACCTTGCCGTGCCACAATTAGACTGGCCAAACAGTCAGGAACGCTGGTGCCAGCAGCCAAGAAAGTGATGCCCATAATGACATCAGGGATGCCCATAGTGTAACCGATCACTGTGACCTGCCACGAAAGTGTCAACAGGTCACTGAACGATTCTAAAAAAGAAGTTTAAGAATTTATAAAATCAATATTTCTGCGGCAAGCCTTACCATCCACACCATGATGTAAGAGAAGAAAGCGATCCAGAGGGTGGAATTGATGAACGAGACCATATACCAGCGCTCCCAACGAGGCGAGGCACAGTTGGGCACGGTCAAGAACAGCAGTAGACTCAGTGGCCAGGCCAGCAGCCACTTTAGCTTATTAAAGCCCCCACCTGCATAAGATTAGAACATCATTTGAGTCATTAGTCTTTTATCAAACACTCTCATTCAAAGCAGCTTACAGAACACTTCCTGCCATGAGGGGCTTTCGCACCGGATAGTTCTAGGAACTAGCCACCAGGGTGGTTCCCTGAGAACTAATGGTTCCCTTAGGAACATTTTCCTGGTTGCATCCGGACCGCCAGTAGGAACTCTGAAGTGACGTAAGCCGCACTTGTTGTTGTGATAGAACTGTTATACATAGAAAGACAGTATATGAAAAGGTATTAGAGTATGCCATGTGGTTGATGTCTAGTGTTGCTAGGTGAGCAGAAATACATAATCATGTTTTGCTTGGTCCCCTCGAAGTTGCGTTGAATTTTCTCCTCAGCGTAAAGGTTAAGAGGCCCATCTATAACTGATTTCCATGTTCGTAGAGTTAGTTTCTGGAGTAAATATATAGGCTATAATCTGTGTGTTTACGTAGCTTTTTTGAAAATGGCCGGTGCTGGTGTTTCGCCATGCATTTGGCCAATCAGCGTACACTAACGCTTGACAAATCCATCAACAACTGTAGCGAGTAGGATCAGTCAACAAACACGGTGAGTCATGTCATCTTCTCCTCTTATTGTCACTTGCACTTCATGTAACATGTATATCATATAGTCGGGGAGCCAAAGTCTCAGAAATGGGTTGAACCTGACATGGTCTGTCATACTTTTTATTTGTGTTTTTTCTGTTAACTTTGACCCTAATAACCAATAATTGGAGTGTCTGCTCTGCCGGAAATATTGCGATTTTTTTTTTGGCCCATTTTAGTGTGTGCACCCTTTATTTTTTATCAGAAAAATGTGAAAAATATTTTTTTTCCTCAAATCCTCAGTGGATTGGGTAGGCTGTCAATAAATGCATTCCAGATACACAGAACTCATGTGCTGACAACATCCACTGAAAAAATAACTCTTAAAACACATTTCTACATGATTTTGCATCAATTTCATGCAAAAAAATAGGCGTTTTCTCACTTTTTTTTCAATATTTTCATCTGTACTTCATTGGCAATCAACTATTCCCCTAAGTTATGACATCAGTCAATATGCCATTCTTTTCACCAAACAGTATACTCATTCCACAGAAAAAAGTATAAAAATTCAAACAAAATTAAATGGATCTGTGATGATTTCACTACTAGTTGGCAATCAACAGGCTCAGAACTTCAATCTAATTTTTGACTACTCTCAAAATTCCAAAAGACATACTACACATTTAACATCATGGCACACTTACACACACACACCCATGATCTTAGTAATTTGAATGAGTTTGGAACAACAAACCAACGGTTACCAACGGTCTTCGAAGCTGCTCATCATTGTCTGTGGTAAGTGACAGAGACTTTAGTGAATACCGGTAGGTCTGCCCCAGCGTTTTGGGAAAAGAATGGTAATATGGATATTGTAATGGAAACTGAAAGGACCATTCCAGTCTTCAAACAAGTATATTTCTGATGATTCCTCATCCCAAACGTATCCCTGTAGCAGCAGCATTCATTCTGTTCTAGTTTACATAGATAGCTTTAGCTGTTTTAGCTCGTTTCAGTGGTTTCTTTAAACGGCCATAACTCCTCACAGGAATGGGGTAGAGACTTACTTTTTTTTTTTTTAAATGTTCAGAATCTTATGCTCATGTGTCCTATATGTTTATTTTGAGAAATTGCGAAAATTTCAACTGGACTTTCTTTACTCTAGGTAAAGAAATAGATATGAGAATAAATACTGTTACAGGGATACGTTTGGAGCGAGGAATCATTAGAAATACACTTGTATGAAGGCTGGTGTGGACCTTGAAGTGTTTTTCATGTCAGACAGATAGAAGGCTAGTAAGGATAACTAAAGGCTGCACTAAATGTTAGCTGCCGTTAGCAATTATCTACATGGCCAGTTGTTACGTTCAGCTTTAGACAATGCAGACTGTACACAATACTGAACAATACACATGTTCTTTAAGATGTAAACATACTATATATTATGCATAGTTTGTTTTTGTATAAAGACCTGTACAGTATATAGAGTGATTTGTCAAAACCTAGTTAGCTAGTAGTGTCAAACATCTAGATTTATTTCACCTGAATATACAATATTTCCCATTATAATAGCCTTCTCTGTCAGCACAGATTTACATGTGATAAATCCAGGGAGATAGTCAGGCTAACGGTGAAGATTTCAGAACTAGAGACACGCATCCACATTTTAATTGAGGTTAAAGGGATACTTCACCTCTGGAAAGATGAATGTGTATTTAAAATGGGTCATTTATGTAGAAGAAATGTGAAATTATTTTTGAATTTGGAGCTTTCTAGACTGAGAAAAGCCAGAAAATGTATTTTTGGCTTATGTGGATGAAAGACTCCCAGAATGCACTTGCTTCGCTGCCCTAGGAGGCCACGCCTACCAGCACAGTAGTTAAACAACAAGTCTAGGCCACTAGTGAGTCTCCGTGATGAGTTTCGAGATCGCCCAAAATGTCCGGGATTCGGCTTTTGCGTTCTACAGTCGCCATTAATTATGTTTACTGTGGCGAGCAGGACGAGACTGAGGGCCGCGGGAGATTGGCGTGAGGCCGGTGGCGTGATTACCGATGAGCGACACCTGTGAGACGCACCGGTCTCGTTTCTCTCACGGAGGAGCGGGAATTTTCTTAGCAATGTTAAAACGCACATCAACCGATCACTTGCTACATTCAGATTCACCAATCGGAATGAATTCAGTTAGATTGAAACAAAAGGTGTGAATGTAAACAGTGAATGGCGACTGCAGAAAGCAAAAGCTGAATCCAGGCCATTTTGACAATCTCGACGGCCGGACATGTCCAGGAAAAAGAGGATAGTAACCCCTACCACTACTCAGCTTTCTCCACAGAACAAGAGCCTGCTAGCTTAGCTTCTAAAAAAAGATGTCTCACACTATGTGTACATTCTGTGAGTGAGATCCCACCCTCTATGGGCGGGTTGAAAACATGCGGGACAGCCCCTACTACTGGCTGTAGTCTTTAGCCTCTGGCCAAAAAATCCTCCGATGACGCAAAATGACGATTTTTGCGTCATCGGAGGATTTTTTCCAGACAAAAAATACATAAATCTCTCGTCTCAGGGGAATATGAGGGTGGAAAGCATGGTAATTCGAAAATACTACAGGTTTCCTACTAATACAAAGCTTAATGCTAAATCCTGAAGTATCCCTTTAATTGTAAGAGTGCAAGGGCTTTAGATACTGCTTTTGATGCTACTAGCTTAGTGAACACTGTACATTGTTCTGTCCCGGCTGTAGTAGAGCCCGTGCAGCAGGTCAATCGAATGACAGTGAGACGCTGTAGTCGCGGGATAAAACACCGCTCTTCCGTTCCGATTACCAAAACAAATAGATTCTCCAAACAAGCATGTCGATCATTATTTTCGCAGACTGACTAAATAGGGTATAAGTTAACCTCATGGAATCTTTTAAATGTGAAAGTAGGAAATTGATCGATGGAAAGAACAATTATAGTGACATGTTTGCTAACGAAATAAACCAATAGGCTTTATGCCCAGCTGCACTACTTCCTGAACTTCAGCCAGCTCCTTGTTTCCTGTCTGACATTATTGGACAAACTGATTAACCCAGGTGTGTCTGGTATTTGTTACTGGTCAGGCACACCTGGATTAATCAGTTTGTCCAATAATGTCAGACAGGAAACAAGGAGCTGGCTGAAGTTCAGGAAGTAGTGCAGCTGTGCATAAAGCCTATTAAAAGCCATTTGTGTGGTGTGGCTTTTGTGTTCATGGTTAAGTGCTAATCTAATTTGCATTCCCACTGAAAAACAAGCGTTCTAGCGCAAAAATCTTGCCTATAAATAGTGTTGCGCGCCTTCTTATCAAATTCAAGTGATCAACCTCTCCCTCTATTTTGCTTGGGAACTAATGTGGTCGGAACCAATGTTTACAGGACTGCGTTCCCTGGAATCCTCTCAAACGGAACACTTCTAAATTCCGATTGGTTGCCGCCGAACTGCGTTATAGCTCATTACCATAAAGTTGACCTGACTTCAACTTCTCCACGCCGCTCTCACCGTCCAAGACGCACCGCTAAGCCCTCGCCGGAGCTCGGTAAGTGGTGTCCGCAAAATAAAAATAATATAGAATTCATAGACAATTGGAAAAGTTTTTGGGGCAGACCTGACCTGTTGAAAAGTGATGGTATTCATCCTGTCACAGTGTCTGGTTTGTGTTTCCCTGGGTAACCACCAGAGGTCCTCTTCCACCACGGTGTCATTCACTCATACTACATTTCCCATCATCCTGTTCTGTCACTCATTGATCATTGCACACAGTTGTTTCCCGTCACCTTGTTAGTATCTGTGTGTATATATACCCTGTTTGTTCAGTGTTTGTCACGGAGTCCTTGTTACATGTCATGTCACTTCCGAAGTGTCTGGTTTGCTGGTTTCTTGTTTTTGTTCGCTGGTTTCTTGTTTTTGTTCGCTGGTTTCTTGTTTTTGTTCGCTGGTTTCTTGTTTTTGTTCGCTGGTTTCTTGTTTTTGTTCGCTGGTTTCTTGTTTTTGTTCTTGTGTTTGGATTGACTATTTGGAGTTTGACCCTTGCCTGGACTGTTTTTTGTGAGTACGGATTACCTTAATAAAATACTGAATTGGATCTTACCGTTTCCAGTGTGTGTATCATGACAGAAGGACTCCGTCATGCATAGATCCAGCGGTATGGGTTTTCGTGTCTCTTCCCCAGCCACCGAGAGGGAGAGGAGGCAGCAGAGGGGGAATTCTCAATCCCGGAGACCGTCCCGGAGCAGCCTGTTGTCATCCCGGAGACCGTCCCCGAACAGCCCGCTGTCATCCCGGAGGCCGTCCCCGAACAGCCCGCTGTCATCCCAGAGGACCTGACTTCGGTGGTCCCAAGCCCGGAGGTCCCTAGCCTTGTGGTCCCGGAGGACCCGACTTCGGTGGTCCCAAGCCCGGTGGTCCCAAGCCCGGTGGTCCCTAGCCTGGTGGTCCTGGAGGACCCGACTTCGGTGGTCCCTAGCCTGGTGGTCTCGGATGACCCGACTTTGGTGGTCCCAAGCCCGGTGGTCCCAAGCCCGGTGGTCCCTAGCCTGGTGGTCCTGGAGGACCCGACTTCGGTGGTCCCTAGCCTAGTGGTCTCGGATGACCCGACTTTGGTGGTCCTAAGCCCGGTGGTCCCTGATCTGGTTGTTCCAGAGCTGTCCACTATCAGTCCTGTCACGGCCAAGTGGGCTGTCTTCACATTTTATGTAGTGGCTGTCCTGTGTGCCTGGGCAGCACACACCTTTAAGGATGGCTGCCTCCAGTCCGGTTGATACCCCGGACACTGTGCCTGAGCCGGTGTCTGTTCCTGTGCCTGTGCCTGAGCCGGTGCCTGTTCCTGAGCCAGTGTCTGTGCCTGTTCCTGAGCCAGGGTCTATTCCTGTTCCTCCGCCATGGCCGCCCGAAGGGCCGCCTCTGCCATGGCCGCCCGATGGACTATCGTCTGCTTCGCCCTGGCCGCCCGATGGGTCGTCTGCTTCGCCCTGGCCACCCGATGGGTCGTCTGCTTTGACCTGGCCGCCCGATGGACTGTCTGCTTTATGTCACAGTGTCTGGTTTGTGTTTCCCTGGGTAACCACCAGAGGTCCCCTCTTTCACCACGGTATCATTCACTCATACTACATTTCCCATCATCTTGTTCTGTCACTTATTGATCATTGCACACAGCTGTTTCCCGTCACCTTGTTAGTATCTGTGTATATATACCCAGTTTGTTCAGTGTTTGTCATGGAGTCCTTGTTACATGTCATTTCACTTCCGAAGTTCTGGTTTGCTGGTTTCTTGTTTTTGTTCTTGTGTTTGGGTTGACAATCGGAGTTTGAGCCTTGCCTGGACTGTTTTTTGTGAGTACGGATTACCTTAATAAAATACTGCAATTGGATCTTACCGTTTCCCGTGTGTGTATCATGACACATCCCTCCTGGGATGGTGCTGCTCTTCTCTCTAGTAATATGGCACATAGTCTTCGAGCTCAAACATGAATCGGGGGTCAGGTCAGGAAGCAGACAGACGGGCTAAACCGACCGTCTGCTAGCTTTCTCACGTCACTAAGGTCAGATAAATCCAATCACATAGAGACTCTTTCACCTAGATGTCATAATATAGAGACTGTGTCTGTTCCCCGAATTAGGAAATACAAAAAACTTCCAAACCCATCTGAGGGTAAAAATTTAATTGATGTTCAACAAATAAAAAACAGATATAATACAAATGAAAAAATGATAAAGCTCGGGTTGCTGAATATTCGATCCCTTACTTCAAAAGCACTTATTGTTAATGATATGATTACAGACTATAACCTACTGTAGATGTGCTGTGTTTGACAGAAACCTGGCTAAAACCAAACAACTACATTACTTTAAATGAGTCCACCCCTGAAGACTACGATTATAAACATGAACCTCGTCTGAAACGCAAAGGGGGAGGTGTTGCTGTAATTTATTTTTTTGAATTACTAAGCAGTCTAGTTTCAAATATAATTCTTTTGAAGTGTTGGTGCTTAATGTAACAATATCTAGTGTAAATGATGAATCACGTTTGAGATTTGTGCTGGCTACTGTATACAGGCCACCAGGGCACCATACAGACTTTATCAAAGAATTTGCTGGCTTTCTATCAGAGTTAGTACTGGCTGCAGATAAAACCCTAATTGCTGGTGATTTTAATATACATGTAGATAACGAAAAAGATGCATTGGGATTGGCATTTAAAGACATTCTTAACTTTATTGGAGTTAGACAACACGTGTCAGGACCTACTCATTGTCGTAATCATACTCTAGATCTAATATTATTACATGGAATCAATGTTGATAGCGTTGAAATTCTGCAGCAGAGCGATGACATCTCAGATCATTATCTAGTCTAGTGTAAACTTCATTTAGCCAAGGCTGCAAAGCCGACTCTGTGTTACAAATATGTTAGACCTACCACTTCTGCCACTAAAGATTGCTTTATTAATAATCTTCCTGATCAGTTTCATCATCTCAGCATCCCAGACAGCTTAAATGAACTCTATATTAAGACAGAAACCTTTAGGCCTAACTCTCTCTTTTCCAGCACTTTAGACACAGTTGCTCCTTTGCGCTTAAAGAAGATTAAAGAAAATAGTCCAACGCCATGGTACAATGAGCACACTCAGGCCCAGAACGGCCAGAAAAATGGAGCGCAACTGGAAGAAATCAAAACTAGAGGTATTTCGCATTTCATGGAAAGAGAGCATGATTGCATACAGAGAGGCCTTAAAAGCTGCAAGATCTGCTTTTTTTTCAATCCTATTAGAAGAAAATAAACAAAAACCTAGGTATTTATTTGAAACAGTGGCTAAACGAAAAATAAAGGGTCAACCCCAGACGTTTCCAAGCAGCACAGCAGTAATGACTTTATGAACTTCTTAACTTACAAGATTGATAATATCAGGAAAAATATTATAACTATGAAACCGTCTACTACAGTATTGCATCAGGCAGTGCATTGTAGTCTCCCTGACGAAAAATTCGATTCATTCATTGCTATAGGAGAGGAAGAATTTTCTAAACTCGTTAAATCATCTAAATCGACAACATATACTGTATGTTAGACCCTATACCGAGTAAGCTACTGAAAGAGATGCTTCCAGAGGTCATAGATCCTATTCTTAATATCATTAATTCATCTTTGTCATTAGGAAACGTACAAAAAACTTTTAAGCTGGCTATGATCAAACCGCTTGTTAAAAAAAGCAACTTGATCCTACAGAATTAGTCAATTACAGGCCGATCTCGAATCTACCTTTTCTGTCAAAGATACTAGAAAAGGTAGTATCTTCACAACTATGTTCCTTTTTAGAAAGAAATTATATCTGCAAGGATTTTCAATCAGGATTTAGACCGTACCATAGTACTGAGACAGCTCTCATTAGAGTCACAAATGATTTGCTCTTATCATCCGATCGTGGTTGTATCTCTCTATTAGTGTTACTCGATCTTAGTGCTGATTTGACACTATCGACCACAACATTCTTTTAAATAGACTCGAAAATTATGTTGGCATTAGTGGAATTGCACTAGCATGGTTTAAATCATACTTATCTGACCGTTATCAGTTTGTAGCAGTAAATGAAGAGATGTCTTATCGATAAAAAGTTCAGTATGGTGTACCATAAGGCTCAGTACTAGGACCGTTGCAGTTCACTCTGTAAATGCTACCCTTTGGAGATATCATTAGGAAGCATGGCATTAGTTTTCACTGTTATGCTGATGATACTCAGCTCTATATTTCTTCATCCGGGCCGTATCCAGATCATATGGTGGACCTGGACCTGGACCCATCCACAACGCATCCCTGAAGTGCCAGCCTCATCAGCCCTGTGATGGCCTCATCGACTCGACAGCCATCGGCACTGATCCTCAACAAACTCGTCTCCATACCGGCGTGATGACTCCGACTTCCAACCAGATGGAACTGGAAAAATATTCTGATCCAATCTGACTTTTAACCAGTAATGCTGCCTGAATCATAATCAACACAGTTCGTTCGTTGGCCAGAGGAGAACTGGCCCCCAAAAGCCTGGTTTCTCCCAAGGTTTTTTTTCTCCATTCTGTCACCTGATGGAGTTTTGGTTCCTTGCCACTGTTGCCTTGGCTTTTTGCTTGCTTAGTTGGGAACATTTAATTTAATATTCAACAATATTATTGATCTGCCTTACTTAAGGTGGACGATGATGCAATTTTCTTCTAGAAACAAACTTTGTTGTATTATTTTCATGTTATCACTGTGAAGCTGCTTTGATACAATCTATATTGTAAAAAGCGCTGTATAAATAAAGGTGACTTGACTTGACTAACGTCACTGGTTGTTCCTATAGTGCTGGTTTAGACCCTACTCTGAAGTAGGAGCAAAATTAGTTCCTAGAACTAAAAATCTGTGTACTTCCGCCAATACTTCTAGGAACTATGAAAAGGTTCCTCCGGTGCGAAAGCCCCTATGGACAGTTTACAGACGGCCATTTCTAGGGGTTGAACCTAAAACCTAGAACCTTGCAAAAAAAATCTTAATTAGAAATTTCGTCAATCATCACTAATAAATGTACCGGGGCAGCGGTATGGTACGAAGGGTCCTTCGTTGTCATCTTCCTCCTCTTCCTCCTCATCGTTCTCATTGTTTTCATTGTCCTCGTTCTCGTTTTCGGTGTCAGTGCCAGCTTCAGCTCCTCCCCTGTCGTCATCATGGTGACCTCCCTTACGCCCGTTCAGGCCTCGGTCCGGTCCTGCCAGCCCATTCTCCACCCCACGCTTTCCAGGGATTTTTACAGTCACCTCTGAGTCGCCGTTACTGAAACGACTGTTTATCAGACGCTGCCTCTGCAAACACACACACACACACACACACACACACTAGTCTTGAGTAAATAAATAGAACAGCTACAATGAATAACCACTTAAGGTCATTGCAACTTAATTTTTTCACAATTGTGCGAGATTTAATTATATCTCACAATCTGACTATTTCTTACTTTATCCTTATCTCACAATTACCATTTCAGTTTTATTCCAAGCGAGATACATTGTATGAATATTGTATGAAATTACGTTTTTTTTTATTAATTCTTTTATTCAGCAAGGATGCAATAAATTGATAACAAGTGACAATAAAGACATTTATAATATTACAAAAGATTTCTACTTAAAATAAACACGGTTCTTCTGAACTTTCTATTTATCAAAGTATAATGAAAAAATGTATCACGGTTGAAGTAATGATATAGTATAAAGTATAATGTATCAATGTTTGCACACTGAAGTAATGATGCTGAAAATTCAGCTTTGCCATCACAGGAATAAAATACATTTTAACAAAACTTTGAATGGAAGAGTATAAATTCTACGTAATACACTTCAATGTGAGAGGCACAATGAAACATTTAGCTGTTCATCAAACTCAGTTTAACCACCTGTAAAAAAACTAGGCACAATCTAAGCATGTACTGTATCTAGTTCTGTGTTTGACACAACTATTAGTGAAAGAGTGCAGATGTGTGTTGGTGTGACTGACCTCTGTAATGAGCATTCTGGAGGCCATCGTGAGGCGTGTGCGAGGGGAGAAGTGGCTGGTTATCATTATTCTCATTCCAGCCTCAGAGAAGGACAGTTGATGAGGGTATGCAGACAAGAGTTCGTCCACCATCAGCACTGATGGCTTCCTGTGGAAATTTGCTAAGAGTGACAGAACAACAATACAGAACTTTAGATGGCACACCAAGCAGTTATACGCGTGATTCATATAAAACAGGACTGCATGCATTACCTTTCTTAAGCAGCACGACTGTGGCGTCGCACCCATCGTCGATGTCAGTGTTACTGGCTGTGCCGTTACCCAGATTTGCTGAGTTCTTTTTCCGCCGTTCAATGTACTGAACCACCCGCGAGTTAAATCTGATTAACACGAAGGAAGGAGAGTTAATAAAATCCGCAGTGATGTGATTTACTGATGTAAATTAGATATGAATAGCAATGAATCCATGTAATAATGAAACATTTCCATGGCAACAGAATAAAGGTGAACTTACTTCATTAATATAATGTAAAATAGGTACAGCACTATTAGGATGAGCGATTCATACCTGAGAAGAAATAAAGTAGCATAAATGACTGAATACATAACAGAATGTGAAACAAATGTAATATGACAAATGAAGAGGGTGTTCCGGTGTAACAGCAGCGTTTATCTTACCATGTCACCTTCTCATCATAGATGAACTTGAAAAAAAAAAACAGAGCAAAAGTTAAATTAAATAGACAAATATGGCAATGCCAAATTCCTTCAACCATTTCAGAAATGTTGCATATTACCACTAGAGGGCAGGGTTATCTAACTGTAATATGGGTCCTGAGGATCTAATGCATAAAATAGCATTTCTGTGATGCATTATTTAATTTTTGCTGAATCTTTGAATAGAAAACATTATAATAATACAATACAATATATTAAAAATTATATTAGCATGATAAGTAAACATTTTAAAAATTAAAACATTTCATTAATATACAGGTAGGCCTATACTGTATTGTATATTTACAATTTCAAGTGTATTGGTATCCATTTGTCTAATTATTTATTTTAATCTGTTATAAATTGCATTATCAGCATCCTTTTAGTGACAATTTGACAAAAACTGTTTATTTTTTGAATTCTATATTTTCAACATGGTCAACATGGAGCCCACTGTATAGGCTTTGTTCTAAATATACATAAATACAAACTAATCAGAAAAAACATAGATATACAGATATACAACCATTTACTGTAAGTTATTAATAGACATATCACCACTTCCCCCCCAAAAAGTCCATGTATCAACTGTAACAGTATAAACTGTTGCAAAACAGTTTGTTCTTTCAGTGAATCCAATTTTTTAATAAGGTGTTCTGTGTAGCATCTCTGTTACTCTGTGTCCTGTGTACTATTAATCTGTGTTTGTTGTTCCTCTGTGCTGGGAACACATGCAGAGAGTGTGGGCAAATAAGAGTCCTGTGCTGCTGGCCATGGGCCCCACGGGAGAGCCACTTGCTTCTCCTCTCCTGCTGCGTGAGGAGGCCCATAGGCTTTATGGGAGCATGAAAAGCCACTTAGAGATCTACTCACCACGATCAGAGCGGTCACTGAGATGGTGTAGTACACAGAGTCTCTCATTAACGTCCAACATGAGAGCCGTACTGCCTGCATAGATGAGAGAGAGGACGGATGAGAGACAGTTAACACGCAAGCAAGTGTCAAAGCAGTACAACTCTTCTATTACATTAAAATGACAAGTAAATATTTTAATGATTTACTTCCAACATCCATCTTGAATAAGTGCTTTATTTGTGGCGACAGAAATCACAAAAAGTTATAATAACTCATAAAGGATGTGCATATTACAGGACACTGATTAAACATGGGACAGACACAGAAGTACGATGATTTTGAAATTAACTTCCAAAAATAATTATTTGTATCTTTGATAATGATATTGCATGATAATTGCTCAGAATATTAAAGAGTTTAGTTTGAAAAGTCTATTCCACACAATAAAATTGCATGGATTTTTTGTCATTCAAGGACTCATGCAAACCCTGGTATTAAAGGATTTTAAAATGTGCTTGTCATGCCTTTATATCTTACATAATGTGTAATCTGTGACTATTTCCAGATTTTTTTGAAAAGTTGGATGGTCTCTTGGCTTACAAACTTGAGAATATCGAATTTAAGTGCGTGAATCGGAAGTGAAGGAAATGATTTAAGTGCGTGAATCGGAAGTGAAGGAAATGAACGAAGTAGGAACCATATATGGACATGACATCCTGTATCGAATCCAGCTGATTGAACCATGTGAAGTAATCCATATTGAATGGGCCATGTTTTGAAGGGCGATCCTTCCATAAAAAGCATTGATCTACGTCAGAGCACCGAAAGCAATGCGCCATCACTCACACCAGCACAGCTTAACTTACACCACAGGTGACACTCTTTGCTTTGTGTTTCCGTGGTAACCAGAAGCTCCATTGTTGCAGATGTGCTTTTTCCCCTGCTTGACTTTGATGGACTCCATGCGTAAGTGTGAGTGTCATTTTGTGAATGATTTACTGACATCACTAATATAGGATGCTAATTTTGTTAGAAAACCAAGGGCACAAATACAAAGCTACAGTATTTCATGTATGTCTGTGCAAATAAATATAGTCAGTCAAACTTTAGTTTAGGGTCCAATTCTCACTATTAACTAACTGTTAACTACTTTTGCCTCAAACTCATAATTACAGTTTATTAATAGTTAGTAAGGTAGTTGTTAAGTTTAGGTATTGGATAAGGATATAGAATATGGTCATGCAGAATAAGCCATTAATATGTGCTTTTAAGTACTGATAAACAGCCAATATCCTAGTAATATGGATGCTAATAAACAACTAGTTAATAGTGTGAATTGGACATGATCAATTCCTGTCATCATCTCCTCCCTTCCTCTTTCATCCTCATCTTTTTCACCAAAAATGTTGTAGGTGGACAGATCAATACAGTACAAAGAAGTTACATCAAAAAAATGTAGAATGTTGGAAAATAACAATGTCTTTTCTGTTAACCAAATGCTTTTTAATCTTCACTATTGCTTCAATGCAAATAAACAAGCGCACCGTTATTTGTTGCGTAGTGACGTGTATGTTCAAGTAAGGCAGTCAGCCAGATATGCGCAGATTCTGAGCAATACGCTGTATTTAATATATCATGATGACTCACGAGTATTTGCGCTAAATCTACGCAGATTTGTCTTACATGAACTTCCCCAGCAAAGTGACTAAAAATAATAAGTAACATGCCAAATTGGCTAGTGACAGCGTTACCCGCCAAAGCTGATTTTTACCCGCATTTGGAGGGGTGTTAATTTCAAACCCTGTTTGTATGCATATGTGTGCGGACACTATTCTGAGGTCTATCAGACTACCCAGAATGCCACTATTCCAATGCCAGATGGTGACTGAAGAAAGACTGGGAGAGGAAAAAACTATTAAGCTGTTTCCCATGCTAGTGCAAAGATAGATATAACCTCATATCCTCTTTTCTTTAACATAGTAAGGGTCTCAGGAGGTTAAAATGAATCAGTGTGAATGACTGAATGAAGTGGAAAGCAAAGGGGACAGGATGAAAAAAAAGAAGCTACTCCACAGCTAACATGACTGACCTCATCAGCTACTCTCAGTGACCCCTGAGAATAGTCTGCTCACTTCTCACTGTCAGTCTGCACTAAGCAATGGCTCTTTTTTAGGGCAGAGGTTTAGAGGGGAGATGCACAGGTCACCTCATTCATCTCTAAGTTGACCTCTCACAGATGCTGAGAATTCATAATGCTTGCTCAGTACATTTGTGTCGACTGTCTAAAGAAAAATAATGTCTTACTGGCAATGCGTAGACACTGTATTAAAAATGTAAACAGGGTTGGGGAAGCATGCTGTTATATTTAAGGTACTGTTATATACAGTACCTTGAATATAACTATAACGTTATATAATACAGTTTTCCAATTTGGGTTCAAAAGATAAATGTATACTAAAGAAACCTAATTTATATAATGAATTAAAAAACATAGTGATGAACGCTAGCATTTAACAAAATATTTTGCTACAAGCAAGAAGGCGCAGGGACATTTGTGCTGAAACCAAAGTGAATCAGTGAACTGTTAGAACTAGTTATTTTACACAAACCGCCTGGAACAATTCACTAATATGACTAATAAGCTACATTTGAGAGAAAAATAACACTCTTTTTCCTTTAAATTAGTTTGAAACATTAACTAAAACAGCTTTTGGGTAATGTGCAAAGTAATGAACACCTGTGCAGTAAAGATCCCACACACTCCAATGATGCAGAGGATGTTGAAGACAGCAGAGCCCACGATTGTGCCCACTCCCACATCTCCTTTGGTGATAAATACACCTGCACAGAGAAGACAGAGTGGCTTACAGAGGGCATGTAAAGGTGTATGTTCAAATGTGAGAGGTACTCTTTTTCAAAGGCAGGCGGTGTTCGGATAAGCAAGATGTTTACCAATGACTGAAGTGAAGAGTTCAGGAGCTGAACTTCCTGCAGCCATGAACGTGGCTCCTGCTACATCCTCACTGAGTTGGAAGCGCTACAACACGTTCACACACAGACAGAAAGAGAGGCACGAAAGATGAAAAGAGTAATTTGAACCAAACAGAATGGCAACAATACTGACTGATTTGAAATATTTTCCTGAACACTCCTCCCATCTGCCATTGGTCAGAATATAGAAATATTTAATTCATACATAAAAAAATAAAAATAAAATAATTCAATAGCTTAAACAGAACAAAATTTTATTCATATATTTTGATATTTAAAAATATTAAAAACATATTTTTTAAATAAAAAATTCAAACAAACTAACTCAATTACACATCTCACCTTTAAAAATGCTTTAAAAGATTTATCAGTTGTAGAACACTAGCTAAGACATGAATGAATGTCGTACCTCACAGATCTTCTCCAGAGAGGGCACAAAGTAGTCATCACACACCAGTGCCAGTGCGTAAAACATATACATGGCCTTTAGAGAGAGAACACAAAATGACAAAGTGAACTCACACAAAAAAACTCACAAAGTGAGTTTCCACTTCAAGCTCAAACCTTCCTTTTGAAAGTCCAGAACCTAAATAATGGTCTGTTCCACAATCAGCTATGATATTCAGCTACCACTTTTATGATTATATTATGGTGCTTTTTGTGATTTTGAAGCTTGACAGACCCGGTGTTCGTTCACTTTCATTATACCATTGGTTCTCAACCAGGGTTCTGGGGCCCACTAAGAGGCCTCAGAAAACTTCCAAGGGGGCCTCAAGATTGCTCACGATAAGGCAAAACAAGCATTGTTCTGATTAGACCTTATCAGACCTGAAAAAATCATGTAAATGAATAAAATCATGCAACTTGACATTTTTAAAATGAATATAAATGTTTCTAGTTATGCCAAAATGTAAAATATGTTAAGGGGTTACAATTTTGAGTACAAAATGTTTTTGAAAATTCAAAAGTCATGGGGGGCTTTGATTATTGTTGTGGACAACGGGGGCCTTGGAGTCGAATTGGTTGAGAACCACTGCACTATACAGGAAAGAGCAGTCAGGATATTATATCCAAAACATCACCTTTAGTGTGTCTACAGAAGGAAGAAAGTCATATGCATTTGGAAAGACAGGTGAGAAAATCATAATAGCCTAGAAATAGTGCAGAAATATCACCTTAAATGTGATTGCTACATCTGATGAAGCCTCTGTAAGTTCACATTATATAAGAAGGTAAAAAAAGAGAAAGACTCTAGAAGCCACTGCAGGGAGCGCATGAAATTTGTGCAAAGCGAAATTCTTGCGTGCAGGCACATTTGAGTACACGAGTGTCAACGCCATTAAACTCTGTTATTCTCAGAGCAATCTGCCCTCCAGTGGGACGGCCGTCTACTGGGACTATTCAGACCTTTTCTTAGAAAGTGTCCCGATGACAGAAAGGCACTGATGGAAGCTTGTGCCCTTTACAGAGTGAGGGGATTCAAAGTTTATTTGTCTCATACTCAATAGGGATGAACATGATGTTTTTTCCCCCTACATTCTAACATGTTTTGCATAAAAAAACTGTGTGTGGGGATTAGTTGCTCCAACATCTGCTGTGGTCAGATGAGTGTGAATCGCAGATGTCATGGTCCCTTTACATGTAAAACACATATGTATGCGTATGTTTGCATTTACCTACAAACACACTTAAAACATGAACATTCCTATAGCTGTAGAGCATGGCGCCAGCAATGGATTTGTCTCCCAGAGAAAGCAAAAACTTTTAGAAATGTATACTGTATACCTTATAAGTTAAATACATCTCTTTGGGATAAAATAATTTGCCAAATGCATACATTTAAACAATAAATCCCCAAACACTGCTAATGCTAGTGATTATGACATAAACAAAACAAAACTTACTAACTAACTAAATAATTATATAATTTGTGTATGTTAAATAAGCATGGGTTCACACAGAACTAACATTGCCATACATACACATGGATGCAAGCACACAATGTCCTCTCAAAGCAAGCTCCCATTCACCCCTGGGACCTGTTTGCCAACTGTTTCCCGCCAAGACTTTGCCAATCAGTGCATCTAATTCAGCCGCCACGCTGCCATGCTCGCACTTTGTGCCCATTATGTAATCTCTGCCCCATCTACTCTCATTCCCTCCCCATCCATTTATTCTTGACCTTCTGACAAGGCAGAGCTGGGCTACTGAAGCCCCTAAAGATAAATAAAACATGTAAACAGCTGGAGGGAGTCTTAGAGGGTTTTCGCTGCGGCTTTTACCATCCACTCAGTCTCTGCTTACATGGGCAACTATCTAAACAATGCACAACAATGGCAGTGTCAAACCAACCCTGCAAGGGATTTCAGCGGGAACACACAGTCCTGCATCAGTACCTGCTTCACATGGTATGCTTCACTTAAATGTTGCTCAGACGTGGCCTATGGGGGCAGAAAGGCCTGATGCATGATGTCCCTGTGATGGCTTACGATTATGGTGGTGGAACAAAACAACTCGGTTTATTTAATTAAAACCAACTGCAGTGGATTTATTTAGAGAGCATTCATTCCTTTAATATTTCACATTCCAGGTTCAATATAAGGTAAGCTCAATTGTTGCATGATGTCAGTTACCACAAAACAATTTAAATTAATTTCTCAATTTCTTAAAAACAACAAAAACTAAAGCTATTTTCATTTCTAAGAGACAGGAAAATTGCTTCAGGAATATGAAGAAATATGTATACGTGTTTATTTGGCCATAGAGTAGGGCTGGTAGTTTTTCAATGAAACACACTTGAATGAAAAACTATTCTATTGAGTCATGACTCAAAACAGCCACCCAGCTTACAATGCTTACAACTTTTAGTGCTATTCCAATTGGCTCCTTTTTATACCTCCAGAGAACACTCAAAACAATCCATAAAAGAACAGACACTATAGGAAATACTGTTGGCAGAGGGAACTCTATTGTGTATTATTGTAAACAAATGATTGTGTCATCGGGCATAGACTGCCAGACAATAAAACCCATTCCACTCTCTATATGCACTCTATATCACAGTAGTAAACAGTATTTCATGTAAGAACTAAAGCATGCCAACTGAAATAAAACTCTTGAAATGTGTACAGGCTTCATCAGGTTCTAGATCATATATCTGAACGTGACAACTGGTTTGATTTAAGTTGATTTGTTGCACTGGTTAATAAAGCTCTCACAACAACAATTTAAGTTGTACAAACCCTTCTCTGCTTGAACACCTCTATTCGAGTGAGGTAATATAACCTGAAAATTCACATGATCAATTCACTCATGTCTACCAATGAGCAAGTCACTTGAAACATCCTTTGCAGTCATTGTAACAAATAATAGAGGTAAGGCCAGATATTGCCCAGAGCCCCTGACTCTTGAATGGAACACACAGTCTTGTGACTTCAAGTGTTCATGTAATTTGATAGATTTCAGCTAAAATAAGGCATTCAAACTATTGTATCAAAAGCTGTAAAAAAAAAAAAAGCAGATGGTAGAGATACTTACAAACACAACATGCAAGGCTACGGCCCCCTCCATTCGCTCCTGGTTGGTGAAAAGATCATCAGGGAACTCGTGTATACCTGCCAAAAACACACAAACACACATTGAGCTACATGAATAGTCCAAGTATGAATCATAGAGCAATGCACGTGTCTCAGAGAGTCTTCCCTGTCATTATACAGTACATCATGCAATTAAGAATATGGATCACTCCAGAGAAAAAATGGTCAATTCTTGTATTGCTACTAATTAGCCAACTTTTGTCTCTCTTAAAGGGATAAATCACAAAATGTTAAACATGATGTGAAACACAAAAGGAGATATTTCACAGAAATGTCTGAGCTTCCCTCTTCCATCCAATAAAAGTGATTGGGACCAAAGCTGTCAAGCTCCAAAAAGGACAAAAAAGCACCAAGCAACTATATTTTGAGTATTCTGAAGCCATATATGATTTGCAAGCAATAGACTAAATATCTTGCCAGGAAAATCGTGGTCATCATTCGCTTTCATTGAATGGAAAAGAGCACCTTGGACATTCTGCCTAACTTTTGTATCCAATGAAAAAATACAGGTTTCAAAACATATGAGGGTGAGTAAATGATGACATAGTGTAACATTTTGGGTGATTTATCCCTTTAAGAGTAAAAAAAAAAACTTTAATTATTCATCGCCAGAACCCATACAGAGAATTTTTTTTAGTCTGATCACTCAGAACAACAAAATGACTTTATCAGACGTCATTCACTGAGCGTCAGAGAGAATTGGCAACTATATGACTGTGGCATTGGTGTGATTTTCAGGAGCTTTTCTTGCGGTTCCGACGGCATTACTGATGCTCCCAGTCCATCGCTGCTCTGTTAACAAGCTATTCACTGACACAGCGTGTCACCCGGCCAGTTCCATTGATAAGCCGGCAGCCTGCCGACAGAATCGGGTCAGTGAGAGTGGCCACTTATTTGCCTGGATTCAGTTTTACGTGCTCTAAAATGGTGGGAGTGTCAAAGTCAGCCTTGAGCTCTCTATAAAGTGTTGCAATTGTGCTCGTTCCTACACAGCCCGTTGCCATGACGTCAGCATCCAAGATATACAGCCCTGATTGAAAAGCATTGAAACCCCAGAGACCGGCTTTGTTCCATTCGGGGAAAAGCCTGATCTCTTTGTACAAATTTGAAACCTGATTTATTTCAGTACTGACAGACAAATATCTCAGAATATGTGTAACGTTGGAATGTCTGTCACTTATCATGACTGACTGAAAGACAGAGATTATGTAGAGAAACTAAAATAAATTGCTTGTCTGATCCTCTCACAATGCCCCCCCCCCGTTTTATGTTTTTCAAGTAATTTGTTTATTTTTATTTCCATGTATGGGTACATTTGGCCGAAAGGACTTTTAGAAACTAAATTGCCTGAAAACAATTTTCACATATTCATATTTCACATAATTGTAATATTTGAATGAAGTGTCAAAATTACAGATTGGAAATTATGCACAATCAGAATATTGTTCACAAGTGATTGCATTTTTCTTTATTTTCATCACACAACACATCTCATATTTCGGTGTTCCAGAACACTAACTTTTTGTTGGCAAAATTGTTGGTCATAATAGAAATGAACCCACAACCGAGGGACAGTTATAATGTAAAATATTATATGTTATGATTGAAAGTCTAGGTCTGGGGCAAAAATATGTACGCAAAAGGCATTTAAAAAGTAGCAGTAAAGAAAGCAGGTAAAAAGTTTCCTTCATATTAAAATATATTTATTTTTTAAATATATATTGTGATTTCTGCCTTGCACAGATGTAATGTTACTCTCTTGTGCCACCACTTTGTGAGCAAAGTTTACAAACTACAAGCCAGTTCTCGGTTTTGTATTAAGATCAACAATAACTGAATTAGTATAACACGGCAGTCATTACAGTAATATCTGTAAGGGTGTTTGTGCGTGTCCATGGCTGCGCATTGTGCAGTGACATTCCCTCCCAGATCACCGGGGAGGTTGAATGCGTCAGCAGGCTTCACACTGCCCCCAATGCCCTAAACACAACAGAGGTGAACTCAAACAACCCAAAAGAACTCACAAAACAACGCTTTACCACCCACTAGCATAACAAGAGCCTGTCACCTGGTTCTTATGTTATAGTAATGACACAACAAATCCTTCATAATTACACTCACAGTCCCTGAAACCATCCCTGAAGTGTGTGAAAAGAGAGACTGACCCTCACTCTATGACCTCTGAGTCTCACGTCAGTCTTCTATTGCTCATTTCACCCACAAAAACAGTGCTTCACTTGAGACAAAATGCTTCTTGATGACAAACAGATGAATAAAAAGCTGGACCGAGAGTCAGCTGCCTATTTTTATCCCAGGAACAACAGATCTGCTCTGGTGCTCATGGTTCACATGGGTTTCATTGTTGGTGAGGCCTTCATTAGAGAGTCACAGCCTCTCGGCTCTGGTCCCATCGCAGATCGTTCCCTGGCACAAGAGATCCTAATTAATCTAATTTCAATTACAGTGCCAATGAATAAAGCAGCAATAAAAAATAGCCGAATGGATCAATTAAAGAACACACAACAACAGCAACAGAAAGATGAACAGGCAATGTTGAAACTGAAAGGGTCAGCAGAAAGGTCCCTTCTGTAATTACGGAGGAGCCAAACAAACAGAAATGAATTCAAAATCTCTTATTGTACACTGGCAACAGTTAAAACAAACGGACGAGGCCTTGGTTCCTCTCCCAGAGCGACTTCAAGCAAGGATTAGACAAGAACATTCCAAGCTAGTGAGAAAAGACTAAACTCGCCCGGAAACGTAGGATAGAGAAGGACAGGGATGATTCTCAGCAGGATTAGGACCTTGCACAACCTCCTCCTCCAGAGGACCAGGAAACTAATGGCTAGCAGGAAGGACATGAAGACTGTCCACATACATTAACCGCTGTCAGCACCGACCCCCTGCTTCTCCTCTGAGAACTGCCCAACTCCACATGAGGACATGAGATAGTCGTACACATCCAAGTTCCCTTCAGTGCATTTTGTGAGCTTTGAGCTGTTTACATAAGACTTCTTCAAAGGCTATTAATCTGAAGATGTATTGCTTCAGCTTCAAAGTAGGCTAAGTTAAAATGCTGCCGAGTATACGAGGGTAGGAAGACAAAGTACAAGGTAACATTCTCTAAGACATCCACTAAGATGTCTTCAGGGTGAATGGAAAGAAGGGAAAGAAAATAAATGGTGATGCGATAGAAGTTGAAAGTCATAAATTAATTGGTAAAGGTCAGTTTTTAATGAATGTTATCTATAGTTTTGGGCAGAGTAAGATTTTTTAAGAAATGTAATACTTTTATTAAGCAAGGATGCATTAAATTGATCAAAAGTGACAGTAAATACATTTATAATGTAACAAAAGATTTCTATTTCAAATAAATGCTGTTTTTTTTTTACTTTCTGCTCAAAGAATCCTGAAAAAAATGTATCACGGTATCCACAAAAATATTAAGCAGCCAAACTGTTTTCAACATTGTTCAACAAATGTTTCTTTAGCACCAAATCATCATATAATAATAATTCTGAAGGATCATGTGACATCATGATCACGAAGACTGGAGTAATGATGATGAAAATTCAGCTTTGCTATAATAGAAATAAATAATATTTTTAAATATATTAATTTCAACTCTAACAATATTTCACAAGAATTCTGTATTTTTTGAACAAATAATTGCAGCCTTGAGCATAAGACACATTCAAAATCATTACAAAAATCTTACAGACTCTCAAACTTTAATGGTATGCATGCTTTTTGTGGCCTGGAAGTCAGATTGAAATCAGTTTCCTTAGGAGACAAAACACCACCTGTTTAGTTATAGAGTGACTGGACAGTGAGGCAGCTGCCAGAGGTTTCGGACACAGACACAGTCGTGAGGGTAGCTGTCAGTCAGACATAACAGCTTAACTGAGAGTCAGACCTCTGTAATTCCAATCAACAGGTAGGCAGCATCTGTTGTCAATTAAATCTAATTGATGAAATTGAAGAGCTTCCGTTGTCAAGACAAACAGTAACTAGAGAATGTCTCCCTCCTAAAGGGGCCGAAGTTTTGGGAGGTGAATATGTTGTTATTCTGTGGCTTGTACACTTATGCAATTATACAGTAAATGCAGGTAAACTGATGATCAAAGACGCAAAATCTACCCGAATAAAAAACACATATTCACATATAAAACATGCAAATTTAAATGCATAAACACTGCATATACTGTATAATTACTATAGACAGATAGACAAACAGAGACAGACAGACAAACAGACTTTGGCCCAGGTAAGCCAAATAGAAAGACAATCTGGAGTAAAGATTAAGGCAAGTCCTGACAGATATTTTCATTATTAGGAGGAACTTGTCCGGATTCACTGAGGTGAAACGGGTATAATAATTGTCGAGAAAATAGAAAATTACACACAAAATACAGTTTAACTTCCTAAAAAAAAAACATTGCACTGAGAAGACATTGTTTTGCTCCTCATTATTTATGTTTCATGATTACTACAGAAACCCTTCTGGGGATTTCATATGCTGTCTCTGGCATTATAATGCGTGTGTGGTTTAAAACAAATTTCCTAAGGGAGCTCTAAAGATATCGCACTTTCCATCATCAAAGTCAAACAACTGATTCACTTAGCGACTGAGCTAGACTTTGATAACAAGTAGAGCATATGACATAAATCACTTGAGGCTTCTTACACAATGAGAACCTGCACTGAGGACCAACTTCCATTAAAGATAAAATCTTTACAAAATAAATAAAATAAATAAAATAAATAATAAAATAAAAATTTCAACGAGAGGCTCTTTTAAAAAGTAATAACAACCTCATGTTACAGTATGTTTGTTTCTTTCCACTGTATATTTTTTCTTATCTGTCATGAGTTTCATGATTTAAATTCTACTGTTTTGCAGTCTGAGGCATCACTTTTCAAAGTAACACTCAATTTCCTAAAAATCCACTCCTGTTTTTTTTTTTTTTTTTTTATATCCCTACCATGTCCATATTTGACCCTGGAGTTTAATCATG